CCCTCTCCTCTCCTCTCCCCTCTCTCTCTCTCTCTCTCTCTCTCTCTCTCTCTCTCTCTCTCTCTCTCTCTCTCTCTCTCTCTCTCTCTCTCTCTCTCTCTCTCTCTCTCTCTCTCTCTCTCTCTCTCTCTCTCTCTCTCTTTCTCTCACCATATCATCTCCCCCAAGCCAGCACGAGCTGATAGATCGAGGTAGAGGCGGAGTCGGGTCCTCCCTCAGTCCTGAGAGGAAACTGGGTAACGTTGTCTGAGTGGATGAGGGAGAGAGGGCAGAAGAGGAAAGGGGAGAGAAGGATGATGGGACAAATAGAATGGTGCGATTGAAGGAGGTATTGGGAGGGAGGGAGGAGAAAAATAGGACTTGGCGGGGAATATGAGGACAAATATCTGGGGGTGGGTGCAGGGAAGGAATTGTGCCCAATCACGTGGGCCATCAGGGATTGGATGCTGACCTACAAGAAGCGAACCCTCCGCTGTACCGACCAGTCCAAGTGAATAGATAATAGGGGTAAATAGATAATGAGGGAGATATGGATGAAAAATGAGGGAGGGTAGAAATGAACCATAGACGATTAAATAAAGAAAATGGAAATATAGAAAAAGGAAGAGTAAGAGGTAAATAATGATCGAAGAATCTGAAAATAAATAAAATGAAACAGGAGTATTTAGTATAATGGGAAAGGCCTACTAGAGTGTGAGAGAGGGAAGGGGTACGAGGAGGAAGGAGAGACAAGGAGAGGGAAGGGGAACCAAAGAGAAGGAGGAGAGGAAAGGTTCACGAGAGGAAATGGAATTTGGGAGATGGCCAGACCCGCCACTTGTCTTTGTCTCTGGTGCTGGAGCCTGGGAGAGGAAGGAGGGGGGGAGGGAGAGAGAGAGAGAAGGGGGGGGGTTGAGAGAAGGGAGGGGGTGAGAGAAGGGGGGGTGAGAGAAGGGAGGGGGTGAGAGAAGGGGGGGGGGTGACAGAAGGGAGCGCAGAAGTGCAAGAGGAAGATCAAGGGAAGTGTGAAAGAGTGGTAAGACGAGGCTAAACGGTAAAGAGATTCATAGGAATTGTAGTATGAGAAAGAGACGGGAGAGAAAGGGAAGTGCTTGAGAGAGAAGTGAAAGGGAAGTGTAAGAGAAGGGGGCAGGGGAATGGGAGTGCAAGAGAGGGGGCAGAAGAATGAAAGCGTGTGAGAGACAGGGGAGAGAAGGGAAGTATGGGGAGAGAAGGGAGTATCTTAAGTATGAGAGGGAAGGGATAGAAACGGAAGTGTAGTTTGAGCTCGTAATAATACCTAACAATAAAACACTGCGGGCTCACCATAGCCCGTGCTGCTTGGAACTTTTTGTTTCGGGTAGCGAATCTTAAACAACAACCTAACATTACATACAATTCTAATATATCATAATTAATTTATATTCATAAAATACCGATTTTGAATACACCATAACGTTAAAACTGACGAGTGTGTGTATTGGGTGCATAATAAAGAAAGAAATTGAATTGGTTGCAGCTTGGATGATAGCCCTAGGATGGGTGGTGTTTATGAGTATGGACTCTTTAACCCTACCTCAGGCTATGAAGACCTCATATACGCATTCATAAATTTTAATGTTGCGTGTATTAAAATTTTAACATTTTCTAATGTAAATTAATGGTATATATATATATATATATATATATATATATATATATATATATATATATATATATATATATATATAATATATATATATATATTGGTGTATACTGGCAGCAGGTTTTCTTTTATGCATGTCTCATTGACTATGACAGCATATTCCGTATTTACTATTTTCTGATTTAGGGCTTCTATCCCTCTTACTAATGCTCTTGTATCAGGGTTCAGCTAGAGAAGTCATGTTGTTTTTAGGTGAAGAAAAGAATTGAATAACTGAAGAATATATTACACTAATTACAAAATCGCACAACGTTTATATATATATATATATATATATATATATATATATATATATATATATATATATATATATATATATATATATATATATATATGTCGTACCTAGTAGCCAGAACGCACTTCTCAGCCTATTATGCAAGGCCCGATTTGCCTAATAAGCCAAGTTTTCATGAATTGTTTTTCGACTACCTAACCTACCTAACCTAACCTAACCTAACTTTTTCGGCTACCTAACCTAATCTAACCTGTAAAGATAGGTTAGGTTAGGTTAGGTAGGGTTGATTAGGTTCGGTCATATATCTAAGTTAATTTTAACTCCAATAACAAAAATTGACCTCATACATAATGAAAAGGGTAGTTTTATCATTTCATAAGAAAAAATTAGAGAAAATATATTAATTCAGGAAAACATGGCTTATTAGGCAAATCGGGCCTTGCATAGTAGGCTGAGAAGTGCGTTCTGGCTACTAGGTACGACATATATATATATATATATATATATATATATATATATATATATATATATATATATATGCAAACAAGCCTGAATGGTCCCCAGGACTATATACCACTGAAAACTCACACCCCAGAAGTGACTCGAACCCATACTGCCAGGAGCAACGCAACTGGTATGTACAGGGACGCCTTAATCCGCTTGACCATCACGACCGGACATAAGGAAGTGATAGCCGAAGCTATTTGAACCACTTCCCCGCCGGCACTCGGATAGTAATCTTGGGCATAGCATTTTATCAAATCACCTCATTCTTTGGGGCACACGTGAGGAACACAAATGCAAACAAGCCTGAATGGTCCCCAGGACTATATACAACTGAAAACTCACACCCCAGAAGTGACTCGAACCCATACTGCCAGGAGCAACGCAACTGGTATGTACAGGGACGCCTTAATCCGCTTGACCATCACGACCGGACATAAGGAAGTGATAGCCGAAGCTATTTGAACCACTTCCCCGCCGGCACTCGGATAGTAATCTTGGGCATAGCATTTTATCAAACCATACCTGGCAGTATGGGTTCGAGTCACTTCTGGGGTGTGAGTTTTCAGTTGTATATAGTCCTGGGGACCATTCAGGCTTGTTTGCATTTGTGTTCCTCACGTGTGCCCCAAAGAATGAGGTGATTTGATAAAATGCTATGCCCAAGATTACTATCCGAGTGCCGGCGGGGAAGTGGTTCAAATAGCTTCGGCTATCACTTCCTTATGTTCGGTCGTGATGGTCAAGCGGATTAAGGCGTCCCTGTACATACCAGTTGCGTTGCTCCTGGCAGTATGGGTTCGAGTCACTTCTGGGGTGTGAGTTTTCAGTTATATATATATATATATATATATATATATATATATATATATATATATATATATATATATATATATAGATATATAGATATATATATAGATATATATATATATAGATATATATATATAGATATATATATATATATAGATATATATATAGATATATATATAGATATATATATATAGATATATATAGATATATATATATATAGATATATATATAGATATATATATATATATATATATATATATATATATATATATATATATATATATATATATATATATATATATATATATATATATATATATATATATATATATATATATATATATATATATATGTCGTACCTAGTAGCCAGAACGCACTTGTCAGCCTACTATGCAAGGCCCGATTTGCCTAATATGCCAAGTTTTCCTGAATTAATATATTTTCACTAATTTTTTTCTTATGAAATGATAAAGCTACCCATTTGATTATGTATGAGGTAATTTTTTTTATTGGAGTTAAAATTAACGTAGATATATGACCGAACCTAACCAACCCTACCTAACCTAACCTAACTTATCTCTATAGGTTAGGTTAGGTTAGGTAGCTGAAAATGTTAGGTTAGGTTAGGTAGGTTAGGTAGTCGAAAAACAATTCATGAAAACTTGGCTTATTAGGCAAATCGGGCCTTGCATAATAGGCTGAGAAGTGCGTTCTGGCTACTAGGTACGATATATATATATATATATATATATATATATATATATATATATATATATATATATATATATATATTAGAATTTGATGTATAATTGAGCCTAGATTAGGAGATTGGTTAGGTTAAGTGTTTAGGTTGTATTGGTAATTATTTTTATTTCAACCCGTCCTCACTAGGCTGTTTAAAGCAGCGGCCGTCCTCCCCAGACGTATTCATACATTTTAACATACTGTGTATGTTAAAATTAGGCAGAAGCAAATAGGCAGAGTTTCTTTCACCCTGATGCAAGTGTTCACCTAGTAGTAAATAGGTACCTGGGAGTTAGACAGCTGCTACGGACTGCTTCCTGGGGATGTGTGTGTATGAAAATTAGGATTAAAGACTTGCCCGAAACGCTGGTGACTGTACAAGAATGTAAGAACTCTTGTATATATATATATATATATATATATATATATATATATATATATATATATATAAAGAAAATGATCGCCATCAGCATTCAGTCTGTTAATTTTTTAAAATATATATTAACATGTTTATTTTTAGAATTGTATGCATAGCTTACATGCATACCTGGAGGCCTGGTCGACGACCGGGCCACGGGGACACTAAGCCCCGGAAGCACCTCAAGGTATAAGCGTAGGGTAGGTTAGATGTTTAAGTTCTGTTGGTAATTATTTGTGTTCGTAGTACCTGGGTGAAACATTTATGTACAATTCGAACACAGAAAGAAAACAAAGCAAAGTTTGAGAACTTCGAACGTCATTAGTTGTGAGTCGCGTGTAAAGCGATTTTCATTAATAATAAAACATTGGGTGTTGTGGCTGGATTAACAAGCATTTTGTTTTGTTTAGGGGACGGGGTGGATGAAGCACCAGCTGGCTTCGAGCGAATACAACCCTTCACCCTGGCGGGTCAGATCATTAAGGTTTTAGTTACAGAAATGTCTCAGGTGTTACTGTGACAGGAACGTCTCAAGTGTTTCTGCAAAATCATCATCATCATCTCATAAGCTCTGCAAGTGTTTTAATTATTCCTTGTTTCTCTAGGAATGACATTAACGTCTTCTGTGAGGAATAAGCGTGAGACGAAGGCAGGAAACACCACTTCCTATGTAGGTGAGTCTCCCGCCCCAAGTCTGGCCCCACTGGACGAGGCATACCGCCCAGCGCCCTCATCTTTCTTGTCAAGGTAAGCTGCTCCTCCAGCCTCAAATGTCATTTATACCTGTACAGGTATTTTATGTTTAACTTGGCAGGCGTTGCTCGGACGACAGGGCAGCGTCTTCACTACACACTGATCTTCATTACTGTAGCTATCTCTATTATACAGTCATTATCAGTGTGACGACCACGTTGGTTACATGCTACCTGCAACACTAACCTTGCACACTGCACATGACCGTCCTCATCACTGTAACCTTGCGCCCTTCATCACCTTCTCTATCCTTCACCACCTTCCCTACCCTTCACCACCTTCCCTACCCTTCATCACCTTCCCTATCCTTCACCACCTTCCCTACCCTTCACCATCTTCCCTATCCTTCACCACCTTCCCTACCCTTCATCGCCTTTCCTACCCTTCACCACCTTCCCTACCCTTCATCACCTTCCCTATCCTTCACCACCTTCCCTACCCTTCATCGCCTTTCCTACCCTTCACCACCTTCCCTACTCTTCACCATCTTCCCTACCCTTCACTACCTTCCCCTACCCTTCACCTTTGCTACCCTTCACCACCTTCCTTACCCTTCACCACCTTCCCTACCCTTCACCACCTTCCCTACCCTTCACCACCTTCCCTACCCTTCACCACCTTCCCTACCCTTCACCACCTTCCCTACCCTTCACCACCTTCCCTACCCTTCACCACCTTCCCTACCCTTCACCACCTTCCCTACTCTTCACCATCTTCCCTACCCTTCACCACCTTCCCTACCCTTCACCACCTTCCCTACCCTTCACCACCTTCCCTACCCTTCACCACCTTCCCTACCCTTCACCACCTTCCCTACCCTTCACCACCTTCCCTACCCTTCACCACCTTCCCTACCCTTCACCACCTTCCCTACTCTTCACCATCTTCCCTACCCTTCACTACCTTCCCCTTCCCACCGCTGCCACCATTGTAACACGGGTTTGGTTCCTCTCTCTTTACTTCTCTACCTTCTACTCCCTCTACCCGTATTCTTACTTTTTATTCTCTACCAAGGGACTCCAAAACTTTTACCAAAGCCAACTCCACGCCACGTGGTCCTAAGACGATTGACCGACTTAGGATTCTACACCCAGTATGACGTGAGCTAAGCTCTGAGCAAAACCCTAGAGTCGCCTCTATGCTGCCACCACCAGACCAGCTCTACAGAGCAATGATCGAGGTCTGGATCGATCACGCTAATTACTCAACCTTGGGGCTTGATCCCCACTATATACGATGACCTTGAGTGTGGAATAAATTACACGGTAATGATAATTCCGACTCGATGTTAGAATCGGCGCCCAATACAACTCTGCCTCGTGTGGACCACGTGACCAGGACAAGTTTACACAAAAAAAACACATGGAAATAATGAAATGCAAAAATATTAACAAATTTAATTTATTAAAAGAAAAACTAAAACAAAATCTAAAAATGTTCACTCCCTATCACTTTAACACTCCCTACTTGACCTGAGTGGCAAATGAGAAGACTATCCCTATAATTAACAACAGCAACTATACCTTGGGCGACCACAGCTCTAGATGTTGGGGCTGGTCTTGGGGAGAGGTAAGATGGTTGGCCTCTTATCCCAGCTGCTACCGTTTCCACACTGATTTTTTCCTTGTCTGGACTACCCCAGACAGTATTGTATCCTTCCGCCTAGTCAAAGTCCTACCCAGTTACTAGCAAGGTTTAAGTTATAACAATTAACCTCTGTTGTACTTAATTGATCCAGACTGGTTGAATTATTTTACTGAATTAAATTACAAACATCTAACGGCAGAGCTGTTCCCGATCACAAAAATGGTTATTAAAACTTTGAGAAATATTAGACATGTCAACCCTGCTGACCTATGACCGCCGGTCACTCCGCTTTAGAAGTTAGATCTGATTCGTGACGTCACTGATGGTGACTTAAACTCAATAATTAGAATACTCTTGATATTGTATCCAGTACTATTATACAATACAATTTTAATGCAAAATGAATAAAGGCTAATTTTCTCTAAATTACTGAATACTATAGGATGATTCATTATACGCAGCTATGAACAAAGCGTTGGTTATTTCCACCGCGAATTCCCCTGGGGGTCAGGTCACCATGCGGCTCAGCTTCCCATTCTCTTTTGTCGATAAACCCCTCTGGATAATTCTTACAACAGCCTAGTTTGTTACATTCCCTACCCTTCACCACCTTCCCTACCCTTCACCACCTTCCCTCCCCTTCACCACCTTCCCTACCCTTCACCTTCCCTACCCTTCACCACCTTCCCTCCCCTTCACCACCTTCCCTACCCTTCACCACCTTCCCTACCCTTCACCACCATCCCTACCCTTCACCACCTTCCCTCCCCTTCACCACCTTCCCTCCCCTTCACCACCTTCCCTACCCTTCACCACCTTCCCTACCCTTCACCACCTTCCCTACCCTTCACCACCTTCCCTACCTTTCACCACCTTCCCTACCCTTCACCACCTTCCCTACCCTTCACCACCTTCCCTCCCCTTCACCACCTTCCCTCCCCTTCACCACCTTCCCTACCCTTCACCACCATCCCTACCCTTCACCACCATCCCTACCCTTCACCACCTTCCCTCCCCTTCACCACCTTCCCTCCCCTTCACCACCTTCCCTCCCCTTCACCACCTTCCCTCCCCTTCACCACCTTCCTTACCCTTCACCACCTTCCCTACCCTTCACCACCTTCCCTACCCTTCACCACCTTCCCTACCCTTCACCACCTTCCCTACCCTTCACCACCTTCCCTACCCTTCACCACCTTCCCTACCCTTCACTACCTTCCCTACCCTTCACCACCTTCCCTCCCCTTCACCACCTTCCCTCCCCTTCACCACCTTCCCTCCCCTTCACCACCTTCCCTACCCTTCACCACCTTCCCTACCCTTCACCACCTTCCCTACCCTTCACTACCTTCCCTACCCTTCACCACCTTCCCTCCCCTTCACCACCTTCCCTCCCCTTCACCACCTTCCCTCCCCTTCACCACCTTCCCTACCCTTCACCACCTTCCCTACCCTTCACTTCACCACTTTCCTTCATCTCAGTGTTTAGTAAACATCGTTACAGTTTTAACAGATAAACTACATGAGGGAAAGTAACATTTGATCACGTGTAAAGTAATGTTTTAGATGAATCTTAGTGAGGATGGAGTCAGGTATTTAGTGAGATTGGAAATTAGCATCATTTATCATTTCACGTAAAGGGGTGGCATGGGGCTCGACCCCTGGCCGACTATGACGGTCGACGACCAAAGACCCGTCACCCTGCAAAGTTTAGTGAGGCTGGCCACAAGCGTCTGGGCCCCCATCACTGAATACACGTGATCTTTTATAGCTATTGATGCATATGGATAAAAATGTGATTGTTTATATGCTTTATTTGTGCTGTGTGAGAATTGAAATGCTGTAAGTTGTTCACTGTTAATAATAATTGTCTTTGATGCCATTACAGGTAAGGGATAACAGCTCGTCGAGGGACACAACTCCGACAGTTTTAAGGTACGTTAATATTACCTTGTGTTTTGGTGACAATGTTATGGAGATGGAGCCAAGCCGGGGGGGGGGGTGGTCATTACAGCTTACAGTGGTCGCTACAGCTTACAATGGTCACTACACCTTGGGCGAGCTGTAGTGACCATTGAGGAGCTCCGTGTACGAGTAGGCTACACGCCCTCCCATGATAACACCCTCACCAACACTAATACACTCCTCCAGCACTTCTTCACCGCCAAACACATTGAAACTAAACCTCATTGTTGGCATATTAAGATGTCCAGTAATAAATCACAACTTTATAAAAAGTGACAGTCGGATAACAGTCACTTTAGAGCCAAAATTCTCCCGTGTAAAAGGGTATAATTAAGTAGGATTAGGCAGGTGCTGAAGCATCGAGGAAAACCGTCTGAAGGGCAGCGTCAGCAGAGATACAGTATCGCCTGTGACAAGTGTGCATCTGGGTAAGGTCTTGTAGAGGTAAGGGGAGAGGGGGAGAAAGTATAGAGGTCAGGGATCGTGTGGTGAGGTGAAAAGGGGCCCCCGGAGTGAAGGATTCCTGAAGGGTAACTCTTCTCTCTTCGCTGAATCTGCGGAAGCTCCTTGCTAGATGAAATACGTGCAGGAAGGGGGGGACTGAGTGCAGACATCGAGTCACAACGGTGGTGAAGACTTGAGGACCAGACCACACATCAGAAGATAGAGAAACGAAGACGTTTCGGTCCGTCCTGGACCATTATAACGTCGTGCACATACGTCTTGATAATGGTCCAGGACGGACCGAAACGTCGTCGTGTCTCCATTTAATGTGGTGTGGGTTGGTTATCAAGGGGACTGGAGCTGGGCAGTCTTCGTGGACTGGGCCAGGGTGAAGTGCCAGTTTGTCTTCAGGGTACTGGGCAGACAGGTCTAGTGACAGGCATCTTGACGAAAGGAAGCGTTTGTCAAAACGCTTCTGTCCTCCCATAGGAGCCTAACCCCGCGACCTTTCAGTTGTGACCTAACTGCGCTTACCACTTCGCCACGAAGTTTTCAGCAGTGGTGGATCCACCTGTCCTGCATTAGTGATAGTACCTATAGCTACTATGGACGCGAGTACAAAGTACATACTGTTGTACTCCCTAAAAAAAATCCACATTTTGTACTATTAACTTAAAAAAAGGCCCCAAGAAAGTAATCAATATCTAACTCTTCCTAGGCCTAGCATATAGGAGAGGGTTATGGTATACTCTGTTCATTGTTAAACCATTTATAGTTCCACTGGTGTAGAATGTGCACTATTTTGGTGGTACAGAAGAGTGGACATGTGGGTACTGGTGCTGTCACTGGGAGAGCAGAGGACCTAGGGGAGGGAGCCAGGGGTAGGAGGGTCACTGACGATGCGTAGTAAGCCAGGTGATGCGTAGTGAGCTAAAAATTTAGTATATATGTTTGTGTGTATATAAATGTATATATATGTATGTATCAATATTGTAACT